CCCCCGAGTCCAACTTCGTTGTGCTCTGTTTTGCTAACGGTAAAGCGATGTTTCACTTACAGCAGCGGGTGTCGGCGGAGAATTGACTGAGGGGAGGAGGCAAGAACCTTCTCCAGTGAGAAGCAAAAGCGAGAAACATACGTGATGGGCCTTTTATGCGTTTCCAAAATTGCCCCAATACACACAGGTGCTTCGAAAGAAGTACGCTCAGTGTCCAATCGTGGAGTCAAAACGAAGGCACCGTACCGCTCTGCGTGACTTGCTCTATCGCCGATTCTCGCGTGTGAGTGCTACGAAGCTCTCGAGAGAAAGAGAAACGAGTAACACAGAGAAAGAGAGACGAGAGAGAGGGAGAGGGAGAGGGAGATAAAGAGAAACAGAGAAGTAGCTTGTGGCCCTGAGAGGGTACTGCTGTGAGTCTGTGCGTGGTGCCATCACCATCGGATCGGTAGCACAGTCAGCGAGAGTTTTGAAATGTCGAATACGTACCCCAACAACCTTCCTGCCAAGTGCACAAACCGACTCATCGGCAGCGGCAAAGTCCCCCTCCCTTTCCCGCAAGCTGATTCATGAGAATTTGGATATTTAATATCTCAATTCCGAACCCTCATGGCGAGCCCCCCCTCAATTGTGATGCAGAATCGCTAGCGGACAATCTTGCAGCACACAACTCACCGACAATCAATGACGCAAAAACATTTGTCAGCATACCTCCTCTCGCACGCAAAACCAAAACGACGGTACCTCCCACCTTGTGCGAACAGACAGCAGGATCCCCCGCAGCGGCTAGATTGATTTCACCAATGCGAATTTGAAACCGATTCCGGCCGATCAACTTACCAGTCAATCGTCCTGTGTTTCTGGCGTTGTTTGCTGCTGAGATTGAAGGTCGGTGACAAAGCCGTAGTCTGCAGCTCGGGTCGCAACAACGACACAACGTCAGGCAGGCTACTTTCGTCGGAGGAATCGGGAAACGTTGGCGAACTAGCAATATACCGCTGCCATGCCGTGCTCCATGTAGTTGATCCCGATCAAGGCCCACAAAGCAACCTCAACTAACTTTCCAACACTTTCGGAGAGCGGGTAGACCCGTCCGTGTACGGCGCGACACGACGGAAACAAGCTTAAAAACACGGCACAGATTGTGACTTTTTGTTCGAACGAAAGATGCAAATGGTTGAGGAAGCACGAGACCAGACAGAGCGTCCGCGTTGTGTAGCGCCAAGAAGAAGCTTCCACTGTACCTAGACTAGCTTTACTGCGACTAGCAGCAGCAGCAGCAGCAGCAGCAGCAGCAGCAGCAGCAGCAGCAACAGCGAAAAGGGGATCGTCACGATCCCCAACTCAGCCATGCCCCCCGTACATACAACAAGAGCTCTTCGGACGCGAGCACCATGTCCCAGCGCCCCACATCGTAACCCTCGTGGACCCGTCCACCGAGAGAACACGCCGTTTTCTTACGCGTCGTCTGACTGAGGATCGGCAACGTTAACGTTGTCGGCGAGGAGCGGTGTTTGTTTTTGGCCCCGTTGAAAAAGTCTCGGGCTTCCTTTTGTTTGTACCTTGTGTTGCATTCGCACAGTCGATCAGAGCACCAAGGCAAGGTCGGAGCCAAGGTATCGCGTGAACTGCCGCCTTCACTTGTGCGAAGAAAAAATGAAAAGGAGAGCCGACTTCTGGACAAATAGCCACATTACCTGCTCTTCTTCTTCCGAGGGCAGTTTTTAAGCATGAAGTATGGTCTATCCGCCGACCATTTCTCAAAGAGTTGGCCGATCGTGAAGACCAGAGGTGTTTGGCGCCGTTGAAATTTTCCGGTTGTTCCTCAGCGTTCATGATACGAGCGAACGATGTGACGGTGCCAACAAGTACAGCCACACACAACGAATGGTCGGCGGGCGCAATGACGGGCTATTGTAGCTACCCTGCAGTTGAACCAAGGGCGTCTTGCCGAAGGATCACGTGCACATGACGCGCGTATATGGTGGAATTTCTATCAGGTATATAATCACATATATTTGCTGCAAGAACTACGCAGGCGGCTCTCGGCTGCAACCGGCGGCCACCATCAGAGCTGCGCAGGCCCGTGTCGGTCGCTGGGCGGCCAATGAGATGATGGTCGCACAAGGGTACGTTGCTAGACATACTGCTTCTCCCCGGCCCGGACGAGAGCCCCATTCACGCCGCCGCCTGCGCTTTGCAGCAACCTTCGACCCGGACGTGCCGCATGGTGAGCTCGCGCACTGCGTGCTGAGCGATCTCCTTCGTGTCACTACAACACCATCAAACAAGAAAAACGGTGCCCCGAGGGAGTCCGAACAATGGTGAGTGGGTTCTGATCGAGTGCATGATGACGGCATTGCTGTGTGACTCTCGCACCGCGCCCGTAGTATGTACAGGTGCGCAAGGAATAAGGGTATATCTCCATTCACATTTCGCGGTTGTCCCTATCGGCGCCCTTCCTCCTGGCAGCGTCAAGTGAAGCGGCGTGGAATCGCCAAGTGGAAACTACGCGTCGCTGAAACGCTCTTGTCTGTATAGCTAGACTAAGCATTTATCTTTTTGGATATTTTTGGATAGACTATTTACTCTAAGGGGGTGCACCATATTATTTGACTTCGGAGCCGCTGTTGTTGGAAAGGCATCGGACGAATTACACTCGTTGCAACCCACGAGCTGGCAGGGTACAGGTAGTCAGAAGGACAGCAGATAGCGCAGCACTTAGCAGCCACAGGTCAGGTCAGTGGCAGTTGGAGATGTAGCAATCGGGAGGTCCCTTCGTGAG